ATCAATAAATTTCTGTACGTACGCTGTGACTCTGACTAGTTTCCCGAAAGACGTGAATTGTTCCGGGTCCATGCCTGCTGGTGATCCGTCAGGACCCTCCCCCTGCACGAGAATAGCAGTGACAGGAGTATCCTCCATTGGATCGTGGCTTGTCGTTGGCAACGTAGTGAGTACATGTACTGCATCATCCGTAATTCCATGATACTCCGTACTTCCTGATGGTAAATACCCGAACGTTGATTTTACCATGTACATGCCATTCTGCAGTGCAATACTGCCGTCCATTATGAATCTGTGATAGTAATCTACACCAATCAGTATGTCCACGTCATACTTCTCTGGTTCCTGTACAGGTGGTTCCGCAAGAGGCATGCCATGCAACTTCATATCATTTGGAAGTGGGAATCGTTGAATTGGGTGACACAGGATTGATGTGACATTTGCGCAGACCTCCGTGCAAGATTTGTCTGGTTGTTCAATTCGTAGATTGACTCTTGGCATGGTTTCGATTTTCCGTTTTTCGTTACCAAAGCTTGACACTGAGATTGTGTCCTCGCCAATCTTGTTACATTGCAGTTTGTGGCATAGGGATTCAGTGATAAAGGATCTAGTTGCTCCGGTGTCGAATAAAATCCGAGCATGGCATTCCTTGGTCCCACTTTCATTTGATACTTCTGTAGCTGCAGTTTGTAAAACCGTTTTCTTGTGATCTGAGATTGCCACTCCCATTGTTGTTTGAATTGGGGATGACACATTCCCTGTGCCAAATTTCTCTGGACAGATACTGCAATGGTGTGTTGTGCGTTTGCAGTAGTAGCATGGTTTAGTGCGCTCACATGCCCTTGCACTGTGTCCAGATTTCAGGCAAATGAAGCACCGTCCATTCAATTGATCTTTTCTGGTTTCTGCATCTGTGTACCTGGTACACTCATCAGCGAAATGCGATTGTCCGCAGTAGATGCATTTACGTTCCATTTTTATCGTGTTTGCTGCCATTGAGTGAGCTACGTGTGTCGTTGGGTTGTATGTTCGATCCCTTTGTCGTTCGTTTCCGCCGGTAGTTGCAGCTTCCGCTGCTTCCATTGCATCTACGTAGTGGTTCATTGCCTCACGTAGACTTCGCACTGTCCATTTCGTGGTAGTGCCTTTCTTTAACTCTAATTGGGACATAACCGATTTCGGTAATTTGGAGGTAATCAGTGGAATGAATAGTGCCTGTGACATGTCCTCATGTAGCGCACCTAGACTTCTGATGTTTGCCTCGACGTCATTCAAGAATTTCCGCAATGATTCAGGTCGGCTAGACGGTTTCTCCAAATCGACTAATGCCAAGTACCGAGCATTGATTACAACATGGTCTTTCCCAAACCGATCCATTAGCAAATCCCATGCAACCTTGTAATTTGAATTTGACAGGGCCAAACCAGAGATACATTCCAGCGCTTTTCCTTTCACGTGTGTTTTCAGGTAAGATAGCTTCTCCACATCAGACAAAGATTTATTTGTGTGAACAGTGGCAGTAAACATATCTTGAAATTCCTTAAATTTCATTACATCACCATCAAAAGTGAACAATTCCAGTTTAGGCAATTTGACCGTGTTACCAGTTTTATTGCTAGCATTACTCTGAGAATTCGTCAAATTTGTCATGATGCTCTGATTGCTTTGATTCATTGATACCATTTCCGACAGCAGTCTGTCGAGTTTGTCGTCATCCATTATAGTTGCTGTAGTTCCTGCCGCCATTGCCGTGGCTGCAGGTTGCGGATCCTTTTTTTGACATTCCATTTGTAAGAATTTTAGTGACACCAAATTAATGTTAGTTACACGTATAAATTCATCCATTAGTTCGATCCATTCCGTTTGATTTTCCTTGAATTCCTGGTCGTCAGACCCTTTTATTTCGTACCTGTTAATTAAATCAGTATACTTTTCCAGCGATATTTCGAGTGCCTCGAGATGCGAGTCCAATTGGAAATTGTGTTGACATAGCTCTCTGACTGCTGCTGGATCCGATTCAATGTCCGTTGAGATTGCCGAGAGGAAACTACCCGTTGTCGTTTCCATATCTTTGATTGTCTTGTGGTGACGAGCAGCCTTTTGGCGCTTGCCCCTCACCGCCGCTTGGTTTTCCATGGTTCATCGGTCGTTCAAATTCCTGTACTAGGAGAGTCGCCGCTCGACTCTCCCGGGTTTCGGCACCAAAATGTCGCGAACCATGGACATACCCTTTACATAAACCACTCGAAGCAGACCATATTTTCCTTAGTGCCCAATTTTCTTGTGAATCAAGACTGAAGAATATTTACAAGGGGAGAGCGATAATATAGGTGAGTCGGAGTGTATGCCTGTAGCAGTAGTGTGCCGTGAAAGTGTCTTGCGTACAGCGTCAGCAGAAATATACAAGCGATAAATATACAAACGCATCGAAATAAGCTCCCAAGGAGTAGCGAAGAATCAAAGAGAAGCAAGAAGAGCACCAAGTTGTGGAACTAAAACAGCTCCACGTGCATGTAGCTGAAAAGGTGACACATAAAGATACGCACAGTGCAACGAGTCCAACTGTGAGCATGAAAATGGATAGTGAAGGCCATCAAAGATGCCGATAGTCGTACACACAGTCCGTGTTGGATGTCGGTGCGTGTGCAAGCCAAGGTGCATGGGTTCAAACTGAATCAAAGGGTGCCCGGAACGGAAACATTAGAAATGCAACGAATTGCAAGGTGAGAAAAGGGTGCCCAGAATTGAACCTTAGAAATGCAACGAAGTGTTACGAAGTGCAAAGTGAAGAAGAGGTGTCGACAAGGGATGCGAGTGATTGAACGTACAAATCATGCACTGAACAAGGATACATGTATACGTAGCTGTGAATTCTTGGTTATATACATGCATTGTGCTCGTGACTACGAATAAATCCGATCGCATTCGCGACAAATCTCACAGTTTGGGGCTTTTTACCCGTGAATCTTCACTTTGCGACTAAACTATTCACAGCAGTGCCACATTTTCTGGGTCACTGAATGTGGATGCCAGCGCCCTACAAGCAAACCAAAAATCAAATCAATGCGACCACTGACATTACAGCTGGGTCATGTTATAGAGAGGTACATTGAAATTCAAAGGTCAGCACAAATGGTCAAAATCCGACATTTTCTCACCTTCCTGCCCGTTCACAGCCCAGAAAATGACAATGACCATCCTCATCTCGTTGTGCAGCTGGACATAGACAAGTGCACCAAGAAAAACAGCCACATTTCTCTAAAGAACTTGCCCAGGGCTGCTGAAAGCTGAAAAATAACCAATCTCACAGTTTGGGGCTTTTTACCCGTGAATCTTCACTTTGCGACTAAACTATTCACAGCAGTGCCAAATTTTTGGGGTCACTGAATGTGGGTGCCAGCGCCCTACAAGCAAACCAAAAATCAAATCAATGCGACAACTGACATTACAGCTGGGTCATGTTATAGAGAGGTACATTGAAATTCAAAGGTCAGCACAAATGGTCAAAATCCGACATTTTCTCACCTTCCTGCCCGTTCACAGCTCAGAAAATGACAATGACCAGCCTCATCTCGTTGTGCAGCTGGACATAGACAAGTGCACCAAGAAAAAGACCCACATTTCTCTAAAGAACTTGCCCAGGACTGCTGAAAGCTGAAAAATTACCAATCTCACAGTTTGGGGCTTTATACCCGTGAATCTTCACTTTGCGACTAAACTATTCACAGCAGTGCCACATTTTCTGGGTCACTGAATGTGGATGCCAGCGCACTACAAGCAAACCAAAAATCAAATCAATGCGACCACTGACATTACAGCTGGGTCATGTTATAGAGAGGTACATTGAAATTCAAAGGTCAGCACAAATGGTCAAAATCCGACATTTTCTCACCTTCCTGCCCGTTGTTGCCTAATCCTCCTCACTACTGTACTCCACAAACCACCATTACCGTCGCTCACACAAACCAGTGCACCAAGCGACCAGGTAGGAGAAACAAAGTTAAGTTAAGATATTTACAAGAAGATTACAACAAGAAAAGGAACCAAGAACCACGATCGCCAAATCGCTGTCATCAGCAAAACGTGCCCGGGTGCGTGCATTGGCTTACGTGTACATCAGTGCGTGCATTGGCTTACGTGTCATCAGTGCGTGCATGCATGAAGTCTTTGAAGATCAGAAAAGCAGAATGATCACAACTCATGCATGATGCATCGATGAGTCATATCAACGGACAACGACTACGTAACCATGGATATAATAATGGCGACAGCAAAGTTAGTTCCGCGTCCAAAAGCGCAGGTGCAACAAGGAAAAGTCAGAGTGCAGAACAAACAGAAATTCAAATCGAAAGGAGATAAATATTGCAAAGATGAAGCGAATCGGTTTGGTCTGTCAGAGGGTGCTTGCGCCCAGCGACAGGGTGACAGCAAACCCTGTCAGAGAGAGAGTCATTGTACAGAATAGGAATACATAGAACGCAGCACGCAATGGAGTTGCTGTGGAGAGCGAGAATGCAAGCAACAACGTAAGTACTATCTATGCAACTAATTATATCGGCGTATTGTTATTGATATTATTATCCGACAAACACGCACAACACACAACAAACACTGTATCGTAACAACGCACTCGTAAATGATGTTATCACAACGACACTCATTCTATTTCACCTCACCCCCTGATAACATCGCGAACAGCAAGGTCAAATTAGTCACGATAACGAACGGGGAGCTGAATGTCAGCACGAGGACGAAGAACTCTCGCAGGCACAGGCTCAACAGGAGCAGCAACAACAGGCTGCACAACACCATCATCAACAGCAGACAACTCAACAGAAAGAGACAATGCATCGTCATCATCATCAACACGATCAGTAGGCTGAGACTTGATCAGCTCGATGTTGACAAGCTTGTTCGAAGTACGGGCATCGTCATTGTCGCGCACAATCACAACAGTTGACTCAGAGACAACTTTGGACACCACCCAGCCAGGTTCATACGGTGACGTGTGTTGTAATTCAACGTTCTGCACACGATAGGAACTAAGGCACTCACAAAACACAACGGGTAATAGGTTTATCCATTACTTTACCATAGTATAGTAGAAGACTGGAGAGTCCTTAGACTCGAGCGGAATGAATGAAAATGATAGCAAGCTCAGGTTATATGCGCTCCAAGCGTTTGGTGCAACCGGATGCAAAGTTAGCGTACAGCGCATGCGGACTTTAGATCTCTAGATGTACGCTACAGAGTGGCGTGCAGTTTTAGAGCAGCGAGCACAATTTTATTCTAGAGATGTACACAGAGCGCATGCGTCAAATTCAGTTTGGGAAAGGTTGCGTGTGAGCAACATGCAAATAAATTATGGGCGAAGACTTTGTAAACAACAGCCTTCGCTTGCAGCAGGAAGATAACTAATGTTTGTAAACATGAAGTATTATCATACCTTGCAAGAAAGGTGTCTCGGAGTGACCTAGACCTGGAGAAGTCAGGTACGTGATTTATGTATTTGCACAACATATTACTATCGTGAATATTTGAAGTATGCTCGAGAATTATTGAAATGTCTAACTATAACACTCCCTTCCCCTTCACAAAATGAAGCCTGAAAGTAAAGACGAAATCTATAAACATGAGCCGGAAACCCCGTCCAGTTACTTGCCGAAAGACGGGTTCTCAATTAAGCGCTCTGGTGGTCTAGAGATCCGAGTAGAACGTCGCAAAGAGACTGCTGGACTGGGTGTGTCTGGTTCAGAATCTATTGCTGTGCTTGCATCTGCAGACTCATTGTAGGTAACAGTACTAGAAGCGGGAAACGTAGCAGCTGTAACAGTAGGAGCGTTCTCAGAGCTATCCTCTGGAGTAATCAAATTATCAGGTATGGAGGGCAATGGACACTTACGAGCCGAATCAGCACTGTCGGATGTATCACCGGCGGGATCTCGTAACCGTAAATGCTCAATATGGACATGACGGATGGTGGTACCACTCTCAACAGAGTAGGTCAGTGGTCCCAGTCTGGCTGCAATAACCGCTGGTGTCCATTTGTCATGGCGAACATCCTTGACCCAGACGCTGTCACCTGGCAGGAAAGCTCGCATAGCTGGCGCAGAGTCTTGCTTGGCCTGCATGTGCGTTGCAAAACTAGGATAGAGAAATGAGAAACGTGTGACGGGGACGAACTTCATAATTATGCTAGCTGGTGACGCGTGAGAGACAGAATGTGGTGTGTTTCTATACGAAAACAGGAATTGCGAAACAGCATCTTGAGGAGAATCATCTGATTTTGCAAGATGTTTCTTAAGTTCTTGTACTAGACGCTCCACCTGTCCATTGCTAGCAGGATGGTACGGAGGGGTTCTTTTATGCCGAATACCATTTTTCTGACAAAAGGTGGCAAATTCCATGGACGTAAACTGCGGACCATTGTCCGATACTAACATCAGCGGGATTCCGCAATAGCTAATGAACCGTTTCAAGCATGATAATGTCCGCTCAGTAGTAGTAGATTTGCCCATAACAAATACATCTGCCCACTTGGAGTACGCATCAATTATTAACAAGTAGTGCTGACCTTTGTATTCAGCGAAATCAAGATGAACCCTCTCAAATGGCCGGTTCGGGTAGACCCAGTGGTGAATGGGTGCCTTCGTTGGTGCTCGAGCCTGCTGTTGGCATAGACGACAATTCGCAGCAAGTTCAACTATGTCTTGGTCTAAGTGAGGCCACCAGAAGAAGGATCTAGCCACAGCTTTCATGCGAGATACGCCAAGATGATCAACATGCAACTCATGCAACAGACTGGAACGAAATACCAAGGGAATCACAACCCGCAAACCCCAGGTGATACATCCCTGCTCAACAGATAGCTGGTCTCGAATACGATAGTACGAGGAAAGACTGTCTGGGACACTGCTAGGCCAGCCATGTGTGATGTGGTGCATGACCTTACGTAGAGTGGGGTCAGCTGAAGTTGCCTTGCTAACATCGGTAGCGGATAATGGCAGATCATGACAAGGATCAACATTGACAGACTTAATGTAATCCGTGAGCTGTTGTTCCTGAAGCACAGAAAGCTGAACGGGCAAACGCGATAGACAGTCAGCAACAACATTATCAGTACCATTGATATGCTGAATGGAATATTGATACTCGGACAAAATAACAGCCCAACGTTGTAGACGTGCTGTAGTGACAGACGGAAGTTGATCATGTTCACCAAAGATCTTCAATAACGGTTTGTGATCGGTGCGAAGGGTGAAGTGTCGTCCACACAGATACTGTTTAAGACGCTTCACGGCAAATACAATGGCAAGAGCTTCTCTCTCAATTTGCGCATAATTTCTTTCAGCAGCAGCCAAAGAACGAGATACATAAGTAACAGGACGCAAATAACCTACTTTGTCTGGTTGTAGTAGGCAGGCACCGATTCCCGTGGGAGACGCGTCGCACTCCAAGATGAGTGGTTTCTTGGGATCATAGTGAGCCAGTACGTTTGACGATGCTAAGATCTCCTTGCACTGGATGAACACATGTTGACACTCGGGAGTCCAGTTCCATTCTGTACCCTTCTGAAGAAGACGGTTCAAGGGATACAACAACTGCGAAGCATTAGGGATAAATCGACCATAAAAGTTGACCAGCCCCAAGAAGGAGTGTAGTTCTGACGCGTTAGTGGGCTGTGGTGCTTTGGCTATAGCAGATACTTTGCTAGGATCAGCATGCAGCCCCTTGCTTGATACAATGAAGCCTAGATACTTGACACTCTCCTGGTTCAGCTCACACTTCGCTTTCTTCAGCTGTAATCCTGCCTTCTCAAATCTGTCTAGAACTTGACGCAACCGGGTATCATGCTCTGCTTGGTTGGTTCCCGTGATTAAGATGTCATCAAAGTACACGATGACCCCATCGATGCCAGCTAAGATCTGCTCTATAGTCTTTTGCCAGATTGATGGTGCTGAGGAAACGCCAAAGGGCAATCTCGTGAAAGCAAATAACCCTCGATGGGTTGCAATGACGCACAGTTTCTGACTGTCTTCGGACAATGGCAACTGAGTGTATGCTTGGCTGAGATCAACTTTTGAGAAAACAGAGGCCCCTGCAATGCTGGACAATAAATCACTGGGATTTGGAATAGGGTGTATGTTGCTTTCAATATGCTGGTTGATGGTGACTTTAAAGTCTGCACAGAGTCGTATAGAACCATCGGCTTTCTTCACAACAACAATAGGAGAAGCCCACTCTGAAGATTCTACCGGAACTAGAACACCCTCCTTAATCAAACGATCTAATTCAACATCAACTTGCGGTTTCATGGCGTATGGCAACGGTCGAGCTGAGTAACACTTGGGAATTGCCCCGCTGGCAATGTGGATCACCGCCTCCGAGTCATGGATCTTGCCCAGACCACCTTCAAAAACGCTTGGGAACTCGTCTAATACAGACTCAGAATCAGACGTACGTGGAGCAGAAGAGACAGAACAGATGGTATGCCAATCCAAACGTATGTTAGACAACCAATTGCGGCCGAACAACGGGGTGGTGCCCTCTTTGACCACAAGAATCTTCTCCTGGACATGTTGCGACTGGTACTGTACATCGACACAGGCCTCCCCCACAACAGTTAAAGGTGCCCCCGAGAAAGTACAGAGTGCAGTCTTGGTGGCATTCAGTTTGACATCTCCCCACAACTGTTTCCAAAGAGCTTCAGGAATGATCGATAACTGTGCCCCTGTGTCAAGTTCCATGTTGAGGGGTTTCCCGTTTACATGTACATCAACTCGGAATTTGCCAGTGTGACTGTGCTGGGACCCAATATTGGCAATCATGAAATCTGAGCTTAGAGCTTCATCACATTGGTCAGGCAGTGAGACATGGTGAGTACCAGCATCCCTAGGTTGGGCATGCGATGATCTACTTGCATTACTACTACTAGTACCACCTTGAGATCTACAACAAACAGCATAGTGTCCAACCTTACTACACGTGTTGCATCGGCGGCGGCGTGCTGGGCAATCGTCAGCTGACGACGCGTGACCCACCCTGTTGCATCGCGTACATGGGGAGCGCGTTGACGATGTCGTAGAGCGTACGGCGTCGACGCTGCTCGGGCTGGCACTGACGCTTGACGCTGCCGTCGCCATAGATCTTACTTGAATGCCTGACGATTCTCGCACGCGAAACTTTTCCAGCAGCACCTGTAGGGTAAGGTTACTCTTGGACAGAAGAGAGCGTTGCAGATCGACGTCAATACAAGTGGCAATCATCTGATCACGAATGTGCTCGTCATCTGCAGCAAATGCACAAAGTTTGGCCTGCGTACGGAGTCTGGTGCAGAATTGCGTGGCATTCTCTCCTACATTGGGTGACATCTGTCTGAAAACGTGCCGCTCAAAAGTTGGATTGACTGTGTATGCGAAATGCTCATCAAGCATTCTTACCGCTTGTTTGAAAGCGTTGTCATCCCCTGGTCTATCTGCCTGCGCAACCGGGTCTTCGAGATCTTCAAAGATCTCCTGAATCTGTAGGCCAGCCTTGTGCAACAGCATGCTGCGCTGGCGATCTGGGTCGGTAATGTCCTTGGCTTCGATGAAGTACTGGAAAGCCCGCCGCCATTTCTTCCAACGCTGTTGGACCTCACTTGCGTGCCCACTGATAAGGAACTGGTCGATGGAGTCCTTGGACATGGTTCGGAAATTTCGTCGCCAATGTTGTAATTCAACGTTCTGCACACGATAGGAACTAAGGCACTCACAAAACACAACGGGTAATAGGTTTATCCATTACTTTACCATAGTATAGTAGAAGACTGGAGAGTCCTTAGACTCGAGCGGAATGAATGAAAATGATAGCAAGCTCAGGTTATATGCGCTCCAAGCGTTTGGTGCAACCGGATGCAAAGTTAGCGTACAGCGCATGCGGACTTTAGATCTCTAGATGTACGCTACAGAGTGGCGTGCAGTTTTAGAGCAGCGAGCACAATTTTATTCTAGAGATGTACACAGAGCGCATGCGTCAAATTCAGTTTGGGAAAGGTTGCGTGTGAGCAACATGCAAATAAATTATGGGCGAAGACTTTGTAAACAACAGCCTTCGCTTGCAGCAGGAAGATAACTAATGTTTGTAAACATGAAGTATTATCATACCTTGCAAGAAAGGTGTCTCGGAGTGACCTAGACCTGGAGAAGTCAGGTACGTGATTTATGTATTTGCACAACATATTACTATCGTGAATATTTGAAGTATGCTCGAGAATTATTGAAATGTCTAACTATAACAACGTGCGTTTCTGGCGGCGACTAGGGCGCAACAACAAGACAGAATCACCAACACTGTACGGACAGGGAGCAACAGGAGCACTAGCAGCAGACTCAGGGAGTGACGCCTCGGCAGCAGACAACTCCTCCTCCAAATAATCACGCACAGCAGCAGACTTCACACACAAACTCTCGACCCACGCACTCAGAGACACATCAGGCTGCGGACAATCGACAACAAGGCCACGGGGAATCCAACCACACATAGCCTCACACGGGGACAAACCAGTAACAGAGTGAGGACGCACACGATAATAGTATAACAGGACGCTCAACGCAGAAGCCCAATCATCCGACTCAGTAATTGTTTTACGAATCAATGTTAACAATGTGCGGTGAAACCGCTCAACACCACCCTGACTCTGCGGGTGCCGCACCGCACCACGGCGCACTTCCACTCCAAATGCATTGTACAGTGCCACAGTAACATGATTCACAAATTCAGTGCCATTGTCCGACCTCACGACATCAGGGGCTCCCCAGCGGGAACACACATCGACAAAAGCAGAAGCCACAGACGCACCATCATGGCGAGCCAAAGGAACAACTTCCACCCACCTCGTAAACATGTCCGTGCACACCAGGACACAATGGTAGCGTTGACTCCTGTTGGGACCAAGTTCCAGGGTGTCCAGCTGCACAACACTCCAGGGTCCAGAAGGACTAACCGGACGGGTCGGCGTGGCAACAGGACCACGCTTGGAACTAGCGGCAGCACACGCAGAACAAGACTGGACAACAGACTGGCACAAAGCAGCCATGTTAGGGAAATAACACCCAGAACGAAGCAGCTTCCAAGTGGTCTCCCAATTGGCATGACCACAAATCGCATGCGCACGAGACAAAACTCGACGCTGCAGGGACTGGGGAACAACAGGCACAACCTGCTCATCATTGGGGGGCACCTTAACACGGCGATACAAACCGCCGTCGGAAACAAGAAGTTGAGTCCGTAATTTCTTAAAAGCAGGATCAACAATGTCGGAACCAGAAGACACAGCAGCAATAATACTGGAAATCTGTTCATCAGCATATTGAGCAGACAACACGTCTTGCAAGAGAACAGCACTTACAACCTGCCTTGACGGCGCTGAGACGGCGGCAGAGGCAGCAGCAGGAGAGGCGCTCGGCTGAAGCTTCCTCCAGCAGCGTACAAACGTGTCAGGCACACGCGTCAACTTGTCGGCCTTGTTCTCTGCAGAAGGCACCCAACGAAGGTGCACTTGCATGCCGGTCTCTGAGACGATGTCCTCCACTGCTTGCAGGCGCCGCTCTACGACAACGTCGAAGAGGCTGTTCGTCTTCACCCGGTGAATGTTCCCAAGGCGCGCCGACAGCCAGCCGTACACAGTCTTGGAGTCGGTCACTACCGTCGCTGTCTTCACACGGTAGTCAGTTGCGAGGGTGAGGCCCCTCAGGACGGCATTCAGTTCGGCGACATTGATGTGGCGGCGATCTGAAGCAGGGCGAAGCCAGGAACGGTCTTCAACTACCGCCCCATCGCACTCTAGCAGCGCCCCATAGGCGACGTCGGACGCATCGCACCACACAGTACAGTCGCGTGCTTCCACATTCACTGCCCACTTGCCGGTCGCTGGGTCAGCCTTGTCCAGCATAGCCTGGAGCTCGGCACAGCAATGGACCACAGCGTCACACACTGGCTTGTCCCACGCACTCTCAACGCTGGCAAGGCGCTTCAGGTAGCCACAGGCTGGACGTAGCCAGGAACAGACGGGATAGTGGCTGGTTAATCGCCCGCACCAGCTGAATACTTCCCGTCGGGTAATCTCATCAGCCACCTCGAGCTGCACACCATCACGTCTGCGCCAATGTAACTCATTATCCGCTCCGGTAAACAGCTGGAGACCCAGCACTCGAGCAGAACTGACATCCTCCGCAGGCTTCGTGGGCAGGCCGTACGCAGCGAGGCGGGCAGACACAGCACTAGACAGAGGCTTGGGGACAATCACGTCATCCACATAATTGTCGACTTCTGGCATGTCGCGGGTCACATACTTGACAATGATGTCCATAACCTTGGGGGCCACAGACAAGCCGAAACCCATGCGGGTCATTACGTAGGTCTTGTCTTGCCAGACGACGACTTGATAACGCAGCAAATCATCCCGAACATGCACTTGCAAATATGCCTTCCTGATGTCTAACAGCTCGTGCTCGTCTTCACGGCTACGCCATGACCGCAGGGATTCCGCACACACAGGAGAGTCATTGCCTGGGTGCGACACAAGTTGCCGGTTCAGGTGGCGGTAGTCCAACACGGGCCGAACAGGAGTTGAAAGCTTGTGCTCTTGCTCAACCGCCATCAGGGGCAGAACACAGGCTGGCTTTCCATGCACCTCCGGGTTATGCTCAATGAGCCAACCATTGGCAACCCACTCATCGACCGCTGCAGTAAACTTTTCCTCCTGCTGTGGCGAGAGGTGCTTCCGGCCGTACTCAGTAATGCCGCTGCCAATTGTAGACACAGGAGCAGTGTCCTCTTTCCAACGCCATGACATCACCCAGCACTGCTTACTAGGTACCCAGCGAGCTTCACCGTCGTCGACACTGAGCACAACGTCATCACCATCCTGTGACACAGAAACATGACGCGACAGCTTGGATGCGGTGTCAGCAATAGCAGCATCAGTTGAAGTGACCGGACCAGCGGCTGCAGCAGCAGCAGGCAGTTGCTCGCCGAAAACTACGCGACTCATACTGCCGTCGTCGTCATATGACACGCTGACGCCACCGCACCGTGCAACAAGGTCGTTGCCTAGCAACACATCAGCAGCCACCACCGATAAATTCGGGACGACAAGTACATTGACACATGTGCGGGGTATGCGCACCGGCCCATCATTGCGGTGGAACTGCAGCTGCGCCGAGCCTAGTACATCAAGGGGCTTGCCGTCCAACGCGAGGATGGTCGACTCGCTGTCGGCACGAGACAACTGCACATCAGGCAAGTGCGCGAGCAGAGCACGAGAAATAAGCGTGCGGGTGGAACCAGTATCCACGATAGCAGTTGCTCGATAGCAACTTCCGCCCGGAGACGAGACATCTGTGTATATGCGTGGTAGTCCGCCGCGGGCATGATTCTGCAGGCAGAGCACCTTGTCTGCGCCGCCCACAGATGCTGCTGACACGCCGTTCGCCGACTGCGCCTCCAGCCACTTCTTCCGCTGGAAGCAGTCTTTTTTGACGTGCCCGGTCCTATCGCAGAACACACACTGCATTGTTCCTCGGCTGGCAGTCCGCTTCGGGCAGTTCCGGCGGATGTGCCCGGGCTCATTACAAAAGTAGCACAGTGTTTTGGCCTTGGGAGCTTGTCCACTAGCGCTGGTGCCACCACTGCTGCTGCCACCTCGGGGCGCAGCACTGCCACTGGCTGCCGCTGCCATCCCCGTATCAGGCCTGGACGAATCCACAACGGCTAGGGCACGGACCTTGCTCACAATGTCCGGTACCGCGAACTTGACGCCAGCGCACGAGAGGCGAATCTGGCGCTCCAAGTGGACAGGTAGCCCCGCCAGCAGCTGTTCAATGATGACGGCGTTGTCATCACCATCGCCGGAGTGGCCGGCCGCAGACAGCAGGCGGCGCAAGTCCGCAACATACGCCTCAGGCGTCTCATCCAGCCGGTACCGCCGGCTACTGAATTGGCGATAAGCATCTCCTGGTGACACTCCAAATGTCTTTTTGATGACATCCACCACCTTGGCTTTGTCTTTCTTGTCATCTGTCGGCATCTTGGAGTACACTAACAGAGCATCTGACTCCAAGAACAGGGGCAGCCTTTTCATCAGCTTTTCCTCGGTGTCCCAACCAGAACACTCGCCGATCACCTGGAACTTGACCCAGAACATGTCCCAGTCGTCGTGCTTACCCTTGAAGGGCTTCACAAATCCGTCAACCTTCAACGACATTACTACCCACTAAGGTAACACAGCCCTACAGGCTACAAACACTTACAGAACGAGAAAACTGAAAAACGAAGAAACAGCCCTGAACGGCTCAACCTCAAGCTAGGGTTTCGGGACCAAAAGTTGTTGCCTAATCCTCCTCACTACTGTACTCCACAAACCACCATTACCGTCGCTCACACAAACCAGTGCACCAAGCGACCAGGTAGGAGAAACAAAGTTAAGTTAAGATATTTACAAGAAGATTACAACAAGAAAAGGAACCAAGAACCACGATCGCCAAATCGCTGTCATCAGCAAAACGTGCCCGGGTGCGTGCATTGGCTTACGTGTACATCAGTGCGTGCATTGGCTTACGTGTCATCAGTGCGTGCATGCATGAAGTCTTTGAAGATCAGAAAAGCAGAATGATCACAACTCATGCATGATGCATCGATGAGTCAT